AATAGACCTGGGCTGAAGAAAATAATTCAATGGCAAAAACAATATCGAATGGCATGATATCGAAAAGTTTTTATGAATTTATTACTTACAGTCTTTTATTTTCACATCTTGGAGCTACAAAAATTTTGAAAACTAAGCATTTTATAATTGAACATATGATGAAACAGAATTTGTTAAGACGTCTTGAAATCACAAGATTATACTGTCATTTTTGAAAATTATTTTGCACTTGTAGTCTAAAAGAAAATTATCAAATTATTAGCGGTTGTTATTAAAAAATTATTAACAGTTAATCTTTATGAGTCACCGTTTCATTTACACTTTTATACATTTTGTATTATTTATTCAAAATTGTCATCTTTTTCTATATGTATTTAATTTATGGCCATATAATTCAGAAAAAATATTTTGGGTTTTCAAAGGAACAATAAGTTTTACATTCTCTATAAACATGAACTAAGATTTTCCGCAACAATATTTTTCTTTTATGTTTGATCAAGTGTGCATATGCATTAAATGAAATCCTTTTTATTTCAACTTTTTTTCTTCAACAATATTTGTCTATAAACGCAAAAAATGTCCTTACAATACCACCTCATTTTATTTTTTCTTATTTTTCTTACAGAATTAAAAAAGAAATAAAGTATTAGGACACGCGACTTTTACGGTTGTGTGTTGTGTGAAAAAAAAAATTCTTTTTCGCATATTTTTGTTTTTTCGTTTTTATTGTTTCTTCGAATAAAATACGGAATACTTTTCGATTTATCTGTTTCGTTTTTGGATTTTTGTATAGTTAGATTTTAAAATATCCCTTTCAGTATTCTTATAGTCTTTGTAAAAGTATTTTTATTTTTTATTTGATTAAAAAATCTCCCTTTTAACATTTCTTTATAATTTATATAGTGAAATCCGTTTAAAATCAATGAATGACAAAATTCTTTTACCCTTCAATTTTATATACCTTAGGCTTATTTAAAGTTTATCATAATATCCTTGTTATCTTAACATTTATATTATGTTATATTGTGAGAAACTGTAATTTAAAGAAGTTATTCTAAATTATTTGTATATGTACATAATGTATATATATATGTGTATATTATTTTAAGTTTATGATATACTCAATTCTTGGTATGAAACATAAAATTACATAATAAGACAATTTTATATTAATTTAGATAAGTTATTAAGACTTTAAATAATTAGGGTAGCCAATATGTACTGTATTATAGGAGAAAACAAATACTAATACATAGAGTATCATAGGATAATGCAAATTTTAGTTTGATATACATACTTTAATTATCAATTACGTTTTAAATAATTTAGAAATAGTTTCCTGAAATGCTTGTATTTTAAGGTAGTTAATTAATTTTTTTTTATTAAAATATTTATTAAATTTTATTAAAATATTTATAAATTCCCCTTGAAACTTTTAAATTTCGTTTATTCTTAAAAACTGAAAAAGTTTTCTTAAATTTTACGCAACTGTTTTTTTCTCCGTGATATTTGTGCCGTGAAATTTGTATGTAAATTTTTTTAAAAATTTGAGAGCTTTAGGGTCATTGGCATTTTGTTATTCTGTAGGTCAATATTTCATTTTTTTTTTTAAATAATAGTTATATGTTTTGTCTTCATTGGATATTGAGTTATAAATAAATTACTCAATATATTTTTATGATCCAACCGGAATTTTAAAAGCAAAATATTCGACTAAATGGCTGTAAAAGTAATTCTGGAATTAAGTTTTTATGTTACAAAATTGTAATAAATTAATCAAATTTATAAGTATTATGTACAACCTATTTGTTGCCTAAAAAAATTTTTTTTGGTACGAAAGCCTAATGCATAATCTTTGGCTACTTGTTTTTCAATATTCTGTAAGTAATGGTGTTTCATATACAATCAATTTCATAAACTTAGTATAGATGCAATCCATTTATTTTCTTTCGCCCTCAAAAAAAATTTATATATAATAAACACGCAAACGTGCGTATAAACATACATACTGAGTAATTCGCAAAAATATTTTTGTAAGGAAATTTAACGAAGCGAAAAAAATAAAATCCCATACCGCTTTACAAAATTTTTATAATTACGGACTATTGTTGAAAGAAAATCATTTATTTCACATACATACATTCATAAGTATTTTTATTGAACAAAAAATGAAATAAAATAAAAATTATTCTTAGTATATTAAATCCTAAAATATCGAAGAATAAAAGACAAGCACGTGTTTGGTACAAGCGACTTTTAAAAAGAATAATTGTGTGATGAAATTTTTAGTTTTTCTTTATGTTATTTTTGTATAATTATGTGTAATTAATTTTCATTACATTCCTAGATATTATTCAACAATTAATTTTTATTGACTGCTAAGTAAGTAAGTAAAATGTGAATTTGAACTGTACCCATCATAATTTGTATAATTGCAGTATTATAAAATAATGTACTGTAGAACTTAATTTTAAGGAAGTCGTCTTATGTAATAAGATTTGGATTGTATACTCGAATTGGATTTATAAAAATACAAAATTATGAACATTGGAAATTCATTGAAAAGGTAAAATTTGATTAAAATTAAAATTAAGATAATTGCGCAGATCAATAAGCGTGATGGAAATTAAGAGAAATATTGAAGATAATTGGATAAACAATTTCCAAGTAAAAATATTTAAATAAAAATTCATAAATTCATAGAACATTGTTTTTTTTATATCAAAATCTAATATGATTAAAATAAAATAAAAAATTAATTCAAAGGCCATTTTAAAATTTACTATTATAGAACTACGGAAATTACCTGTGAAATTAAAAATAGATATGTACATTCAAATTGAAATTTTGGTTTTTTTTTTGAAAAACTAAATATTTTCCGGTTATTAGCATTATTTGAAAACCTATGCGGTTTTCATGCAATAGTTTTCTCTTTGTAAAATAAAAATTACATACATATAAGAAATATTAAACACTATTTTTGCAATCATAAAATCAAAAAGATCATAAAAAGGTTCTACATAATTTTAATAGAGATAAAATAAAATACAACATCATCTAAGCAATAAATCCATCCTAGAACAATTACAGTATGGCTTCTATGCGCGTTTTTAAGAAATTAACCTGAATTGAAAGGATTTTAAGTTTAAACAAAAAAATTTAGAGGACCACAGATTTATTCAGATTTATTTCAATTCAAGAATAACCATCGAAAAGTAGACTACGTGTTCTATTCATTCTCATCTTACTTTTTAGTTACAATATACTTTCAAAAAAAAAGGGTTGTGATTTAAATTAAGAAATTCTAGAATATTATATAGGAACCAATATTTTAACAATAACTAACAACTTTAATTCAATAATAAAAAATTTAAAATTTTTAATATTAAAAATAAAAAGTATATATCATCCTTAAATTGGAAACGCAAAATTGAGGTAAATGAAATTTTAATTATAATTAACTGCACTGATCGTTGCAATTAGGATATTTAAATTGAATTTTTCGCGCATACATGCATTAGCAAAAATTTTTTAACTTTCAACCTATGAAATAATCGCATTTTTAAAGGACATATAAATTATATTGTAGTATATATAATAAAGGAATATTGAAAACCCATTTTAAGCACACTTGAAAATTTTTTACTTTTCAATAGAAAAAAAATTTTTATTTCCTGAACAAAACATTTTTTTTCCGAACTTTATTTACCAGTGTCTTTTTCTTGTTTCTTTTTGTGGTTCTCAAGGATGAAATTCTTTTTCATTCTAAGAAATTAATATTTATGTGAATATAATATATGAACTTAAATTGTAATATCCCCTATATTGTGCTTGTTTTATCCTTTAAATTTTTACACCTTTTGAAATCATTGTAAAATTGGTAACAATTGTAATTGTAATGAATTAGGTTACCCGCATTCAAATAAGAATGAAGGTATAATTTTATGTAAGAAATAGTTAAAAAAAACTTTAATTCTTAAAAATACAGATTTTGCTAAAAACAAATTTAAAGTACACATGAAATAGATGCCAAATATGCCCCTTTTTTTATATTCACAACACTTATTCACTAGTTTTGAGAAATGATGGTAATTTTTATTTTGAATTTATCCTGCGGCTAATATCACATATCACATATGAGCAATTATTTTAATATATTCAATTATTCATAAAAGATTATTATATTCTTTAAAATAAAAAATTAAAGTTCTATAGGTACTTGTTACACTTAAATGATTATTATTCTTGCACAATAATTATATTCAAGATATTGTATGTCCAAAAAGGTAAGGAGATTTTGAAAAAGATTGTACTTGTAAATTATCCTGTTTTCCTTTTACTTTTTAATGATGCCTGCATTCAATTAGCTTACTAGTAGGTTTTTTATTTAGTTTTTTAAAGGACATCACTTTATTTTTTCCCTTTTCTTTACGGAAATGCGTTTTGTAGTTTTTTTTTATTTTAATTACAAATTTATTCAAAATTGATTTATTTTATCGGATAATTAACTGAAATTTAAATATATATAAAATGGTAAAATATTCAAAATAATAAAAAGGAGTTCTGAAGTATTGAATTAAATCACTTTTAAAAAATTAAATTTGATTGCAGTTCGTCATTTCATTTTGAAAACTTGAAATAATTACCTGCATAAATCTTTAAGATCAGAAATTTATTAAATAACCCAATAAATCAGAAAACTAATTTTTAAGAATCCTTAAATTTTGGTTATTCAGAATTACAAATAATTTTAATACGAAAAATTTAAAGGAAATTTTCTTTTATTTAAAGAAAATTTCCTTTAACTCTTATTTCTAATTCTAATTTCTTATAATTATATTTTGTACGCTACTCACTTTATCGAAGAACGTATATTTTTTTTAATTTTAAAGTTAAGATAAAATTATTCAATTATGTTTTAGTTGGCTAAGTAAGTTTTCAGGTCTATTTTAAAGTTTACTTTATATAATAATCTCTAAAACCAATTAATAAATGTATAGTATGTAAAAATATGTTTATTCAAATTTTCAATCTTCAAATTAAGACTTGCTGCAGTTTACTTATTTCATCCGTTTACTTTGATTTAATGTCGTGATGATCAATGACGACCACAAAACCAATGACGAACGTAAATTTTATTTTAGTTCTTTTTTCTTCTTATTTGCTTCTATTTGAAATATCCATTCAGAAGTTTGAAATATACAATAACAAACTGCTGTCAAAATTAAATAATGTTTTAATCCACTAGTATATGTCGTTATCATAAAATGATGTCCTGTAGCGGTTCCAGCAAAGAAATAAAAATTTGACATTATTGATGGTATGTATATATGACATCCGAGTAAACCATAAAGCCTTTTCTGGTTGTTAACAGAGAGTCGTGAGGTGACGTTATTTTGAAAAAAATCTGATTTCCAAAATTCTTTAAAAACTTTTTCTATTACAACACATAAAAAGTTTAATGCAGACCATACAAATATTACATATGATAATCCATGCCAAATAAATATAAATACAAAAGTGACAAAGCTAGCAAATAGTTTCCGTAAACCTGAAGATGATCTTGTTTGTAATTCCATATAAATATACCTGCAAGAATTAGTTAGTTATGAAAATATAATTTCTTTTTCATTTTAATAATATTTAATATACTTCAGTAAAAACTCATATAGTCCCTCGTCAAAATAACGCCACATATAAGAATAGAAATGAACGCGTGCTATACAAATTGGTTGCCTTGGTGGGCTAATACTGTCATATTTTAAAAATGTTATTCCTAAGCCATATGTTATTATATAATGTATTTGGAAATAGAGTCCCATTAAGTATCCAAATCCATACAGACCCAGTGAGCTTAAAACGAGAACAGCCTGAAAGCAAAATATTTTTAATTTAAATTCATAATACTTTACTAATAATTATAATAATTAAAATGCCAAGATTGCTTATTTAACAAACAAAACAAAAATATATCAGAAATCACGTCGACATCGGTAGAATTCTTAAGTAGTATTTGGAACTGTCCCCAATTATGGTGCGGTGTTTTCTATTATACGTGACTTTTTTTTAAATTGTTTGTTTACTCAATTTTATTAAACACGTCATCAAAACGTATTTTATGTCACCAATATTTAAGATATTCTATTATATATCTATGTATATTATATTAAGCTTTTTACAATAAAATATATGTATTAAATTTTTATATTAATAATATTATATAAATATAATTGATTTACTTACTTCATGATCATATTGTAAATAGTAAAAGTAAAAAAAGTGCAATGATACATTTACAAATAATATCCAAAATCCAATTCTCAATAAACCAAATATTAAATTTTTCAATCTTTCTATAACATCCTTTTCTCGAAAATTATCGCTAAATAATTGTGAGTATCGACCATAAATAATGAATGGACCAAAAATAAATGTTGGAAAATAAAACATATAACCGGCATAACGCATAAAATCTAATAAATTCCATTGTTTCAATCCAATATTATTTTTAAGTGCTTCTTGTCTATCTAAGATAAAACTAAGACCCCGTAAAATATTCCAAGCCAATAGAACAACAAACTTGTATGTTTCAAAATATATATTGAAATCTTCATGTAATGCAGCACCGGGCGTTATAGTATTAATATAAATTATCCAAAGCACTCCAAGTGTCCAGGTCAAAAATTTCGATTGAATATTTCGAAATACATAAAAAGTAATCAATTGTGCTAGTATTGTTATTTGAAAATTAATTTTAAACGTAAAAAGTAAAAATGTTGCAGTAACAGCAAAATGCATGGCAGGAACAAACTAAAAAATATAAAAAAATGTTATTGTATCAAATAGTATTTCTTACACAATTATAAAATATTTTTTTTGGATAACATAAAGAATTTTTAATTTTTGTTTTGCTTAAGCTAAAGCCAATTTACTTTTGAATTAAAACATTTGATCAACTCTGCGGCTAACATATGTATCAAATACCATATAAAATTACGTATTAGGTATGTTTTGAAGCATTCAAATTCCCAGCCCGCATTATCATAAGGATGACCAAGAAACTCCCATCCTTTCTCAAATCCAACAGCAGCATTTTCAAGGATTTCTAAAATAAAAAATAGAGTTTAAAATACATATATACTAGAACAAAAGTAATCTTTATAAATCTAGAACATGTAACAAAATAATTTTCAATAAATAAGTATTAAACGTTTTTATTAGGAAAATTTATAATATTGAAAATTAAAGCAATTTCAAATTAAAATATTTTTTTAACGTTTATGAAGAAAATTGTGAAATATTGTGTTCTTTTATATTTAGGCACTTATTTTCTGATTGTATTTTTACTTACTCTCGCTAGTTTTGTAAAAATCGTAAAAAGTGTAAGAAACAACCGTAATAAAAATTAAAATATTAAAAGAATCTTCTAATTTTGTAATATATACAAACATATTCGGTGTTTTGAATACGAGTGACAACTAAAATAATATTTACGGAACTTGAAAAATTAACCTATGCCACCGTTTGCAACTTATAAATTTACTATTTTTTTTTTTTGGAAATTTAATTTATAAAAACCGCAAATAATCCTGAATAGAATTTTCAATCAGAAATTTTAAATTCGTTAATTAGCACCAAACCTATATCTAGTGAACTTCATTTAACTATTTAATAAGCTTCATATTTAAATTTTTGGTTTTTATAATATCAGTAACTTTAAATGCTTCAACTGCTACTATAATAATTCAACCAGATTCAACTTACTTTCAACTCTTATAATAATACTGTTAAAAGAATTTAGGCAATTACGTTGATCATTTTATACAATATTTATAATTTTAATTTTAATTATTTTCATATTTATATTAAAGTAAGCAGCCTTTAAACTGGATCGGGCCTTATTGCACCAACTGCTTTTTCAATTACACCATTTTTTGCGATTACATTATTAACCAAAAAGTTTATCACATTTTTGTTTTAACAAGAATCAACAACACTAATGAAGCATACTAATAATAAAGAACCTTTTTTTAAAAGTTAAAAAGAGGAAGCAAAAGTAAAATTGGTTGGTCCTGGGATTGAAATATGCATATGTATAAAGAAATACTTACTATCTCGTACCAAAATTAAACTATAACAACCGTATATCAAAAATGAAATGTTGATTAGAAAATAAAAGGCAAGTTCCGTTTTTGTTAAGAATATCATATCTTAACTTTTGAGTATTGGCAATTTTAATATTTGCGGCAAGATATATTACAATGGCATCATATTTTCCTGAAAAAAAAAATAGAAAACATAAAAATTTTCTGTTTTTAGATAAAAGATAAATAAATAATATTTTTTATAGTTTTTACTTTTTCAATTATTGAATAATAGTAATTATTATTATATGCAAAATGTGATCTATTTTTGTCTAAAAATATTAACAGCTATGCAGGATTACTAAGCATTTCATAATATAGGTTTTAAAATTATTTTTGGGTTTTTTTTTTGTACAAAAAATTGTTTAAAAATCCTCATAAATTATACGACTCTGTATTTTCGAATAAAATATAACTTGTTCTTGTTGCTTATGTCCAAAAATAGATGTCGCTAAAAACGATTAATTTCCTATAATTTTTGTTTCTAGTTTAAGTTTTTTGGTTTTGACATTTTGATTTTAAGAATGTAAACAAAAACAATGTGCACAACTCAATTTAGATCTTTTGTTGTTTAAAAATTTTTATATTGCAAAAAATTTCTAATTTAATAAAGAAATTTTGTGAAAATTTAGTGTCTGATTATTCACTGCAAAATATTTTTAATCTTTTAACAAGATAATATGAAATTTATTTGTTGAATATAAATTTGTGTTTAAATTATACCACGAAAGAACATTTTATAAAACTTTAGAGTAAGTGCTGATTTTATCATACGTACTTCGTTTTTTAGAAATATATTTTAAAAAAATAGTTTAAGAGCAAAAACATTAATTAACAAAAACACTTATGTACACCTGTTTCGTTCTTTTAATGCATATTGTAAGATAAAATAAATGTTATTTATCATGCATAATAAATACATATATGACACTATTCGAGATATTCTCAAACTTTGACACTAGTTCTAAAAATTTTGTGTACTAAAACTATAGTTCTTAATTTTAGTGACAAAAAAAAAATTTAAAAATATGTGATTTTGTTGAATTAATTCTTTTTATGATTATTATAAATTTTTTGAAATCACAATATGACTTGACTAAAATTTTTTCTTAATAATTTTAGGATGGAAAAAGAATCAATTGTCGAAGTAAAATGCAAAAAATGTCGAAAAATATTAATGAAGGTAGATAGTAATCAAATTATGAATTCTCACGGAAATATATTTCAATTCAACCCTCACTATGAATCAGGAATATGTAATTCATTACTAAGCAATAATGAGTTATTTTTAAAGGAAGATTCTTGGCCAGATTGGATAAGAGAAAATATTGAACTCTCAAATTGGACAAAGGGCAAATTGAAATGCGTTTGTGATGCACGTATTGGTTCTTTTGATTTTGTATCTGGTAATCGCTGTTGTTGTACGGAGTTTGTTTTGCCTTCGGTTCATTTAGTGAAAAGCAAAACAGATTACAAACTGTTATAAAATTTTAAATATATGTATATATGTAAATATATTTCGCTTTTCCAATTTAACAATTTTTATTATAAAGAAAATTGGAAGTAGAAATAAAAACATGATTTATTTTTCATATAAATGTTGCACGTTTGCAAATCACATATTAAATTGAAATTGAGTTTTTTTTTGTTTTCAATTTAGTACTTATTTCGATTAATACAGTACTTTTGTATTCATTGTATGGTAGAAATGTCAAACATACTTACTATATTATGTATTTTATTTTGAAGTTTGCGCTTTGACAAATGTAATTAAATATATGACGTTTATTTTATTTTTTGGAAAAGTATGTATTAATACTGCATAATAAAAGTAAATAAATTTAGTTTTCGAAGAATTTGTAAAAATCGAAGATTGAAATATGCCACAAGAAGTAGTTGAGCCTATGTCGCAAAGGCTCACCAATGAAGATTTTAGGAAATTACTTCAAACTCCTAGAGCCACACCATTATCTGGAGGAAATGCAGCATCAGGATCAATACGTGAAGCAATGGCTGCTGCCAAGAAAACTTCAACTAATTCTATGGGTCCACCATCGTCTAACTCAGAAGCAAGGAGAAAAAAGAAGAACTTTTATGCTAATTTGAAAAAACAAGAAGATAATAAATTACAAGAGTTACAAGAAAAATACAGAGATCGGGCCCGTGAACGACGTGATGGTGCCAATCCAGATTATCAAAATGTAATTTTATTAATATGAAAATTTTAATTTAAACTAAAATTTGAAACTTTTTAGGTTGAAACACCAAGCCATACTAATAGTGCGTATCGTGCTGTTGCTCCCGACATTAAATCAGGTATAGACGCAGCAGAAAGACGTCGCCGGATGATACAAGAATCCAAATATTTGGGAGGTGATATGGAACATACCCATTTGGTAAAAGGTTTAGATTATGCTTTGCTGCAAAAAGTGCGAAGTGAAATTCAAAATAAAGAAATTGAACAAGAAAAGGAAATGGAGAAAATTGTTGAAGAGGCAGAAGCAGCAAAAGAAATAGAGGAAGTGCACGTTGCACCATTACCTGATGAACCGATTTTTAAATCTGTAATGGCGAAAAATATCAATAATGTTGTACAAATATTAAAATCGAGACAAATAGTGCGAAATGAATTATTTGCTCCTAGTCGCATGGCTTACGTTATAGATTTGGAGGATGAAAATAATGAAACTGATATTCCAACTACGTTGATAAGATCTAAAGCGGAAGTACCAGTTTCAAATGATGATATTCAAACTTTAACAACAAATGACATAGTGATTAACAAATTAGCTCAAATTTTATCTTATTTAAGAGCCGGTGGTCGTGGTAAAAAGAATAAAAAACGTGATAAAGATAAACCACTTTTTAACGATGAAGATGGTATGATTGGTACAAGTGGAATATCGAACAAGCCAAAAGCTCCCATTGCGGATTCTATATATGAAGATATTGGTGAGTACAAGCCGGAAAGAAGAAAGGCAGATAATACATCTTCAAAATATAGTAGAGAAAAGGAAAAAGGTGAAAGGGATAGAGAAAGAGATAGAGAAAGAGATAGGGACAGAGATCGTGAGAGAGATCGTGATAGACGCGATCGTGACAGGAGTGGAAGAGATAGGTATCGGGATAGGGACTTTGATCGCCATAATGAAAAAGAGCGGGAGGAACGTGATCCTAAAAAGCCAAGAAGTTATTTTGGAAGCAAACCAGATGAAGAGGATCAATTTGAAAATAATATTGTTCCTCCACTTCCTCCTAAAATCAGTGCATCAAGCATATTGTCTAAATTTTCAAATGAGCCTGAAGGTTATGCGGGTAAGTTTTCTTAAGTAGATATTTCAGAATCCCAAATATTTGTCATTTCCGATTTCGCTTTTTAGAGTGTTATCCTGGTCTTGAAGAAATGAACGATGCAATAGATGATTCAGATGATGAGGTAGATTATACGAAAATGGATTTGGGTAAGTTAACATTGAATGTTCTTTTTGTCCTGATAATTTTTGCATTAACGGTACTTCTTTGGTTTTAAAGGAAACAAAAAGGGACCAATTGGAAGATGGGACTTTGATACTCAAGAAGAATATTCAGATTATATGAGTAGCAAAGAAGCTTTGCCAAAAGCAGCATTTCAATATGGTGTTAAAATGCAAGATGGTCGCAAAACTCGTAAACATAAGACCGAAAAAAGTGAAAAAGCGGAACTTGATCGTGAATGGCAAAAAATTCAAGTAAACTTTATAACTCAAAAAAAAAAACGATTCGATGATAATAAAAATATTTCTCTCTTTTAGAATATTATTCAAAAAAGGAAAACTAAGAATACTGATGATGAGCCGAATTATAAAATGGGCAAATATTAATCAACGGGATTACTGTTTTGCTCGAATTTAATCGAAACTTAGTTGTAGTTAGGTAAGCCTATTTGCGTTATAAATCTTTCTGAAATGTACATGATGTTTGAGTTACATTTTATCTTCATGCAATGTTCTTAAATAAAGTTCTTTAATAGATGTAGAATATATTTATTTGCGTTTTTTTGATTACAAAGACTAAAACCTTTCTCGATTTGGGAACAAAACATCATTTATATAATTTTTGTGTTCATTATATATGCCAGTATTTCTTAAGTCTATTTGTCTTAAACTTTTATTGAAACCAATTGTTCTATACAAAGTACTGCCAATTTCCTAAAACGTTTTTGTCAAATGTAAATTATTAAAAATTAAGAATTTACAATAAGGTCTTACTGGACCAAGTTCATTGTTCGAAAGGTCAAGTTGTCTTAAGGTTTTTGTTTCATAAATTAATTTAAGCAGAACACGTTGTATAGAACTTGTGATGGAACAACCACTTACGTCTAAGAGCTCTAACGGGAGACATTTTATAATTGCAAATATCGCAGCAGCACCATCGCTTTCAATTGGATTTAATCTTAAAATCAATCTTTTTATTTTTCTATTTTGCAATGTGCGACTCAATATTAAAGCTGATTCTTGACCTACATGGTATAAATTAAATTGTTAGTATTTAACATGTAAAAACAATATATGCAAATGTTTATCATCATACCAAGAAAATTATTCGTTAAATCCAGAGTAACTAAGTTAGGAAACGATTCTTTACTTAAAGCACAATAAAATCCTCTAAGTCCTTCATCTCCTATTTCTGAATTTGGGAAAGCTAATGTTTTTAAATTAATTGATGCAGCTTTATCCAAACTTTTGCCTAAATTCTGTAATTGCGTTGGATCCATATTCGTGCTATGCAAGCTGGATAAATCATAGCCAAAATTTAAATAAAATAATAACAAGTAGTTTTTCATATTAATTAGGTATGTATATATATTATGTACTTGAAGTATTCCAGTTCATAACATTTTTGTATTCCACGACAAAAATGCAATGCATCTCTTCTTGAGGGTGTGCAGCATCCTAAATTATAATGAATACCAATAGTTTTCGTATCAAAAGTTATTCGAAAATATCTTAACTCAGGCAAGTTTGATAAAATAAAATCAAACGGAATATGGTCTGAAAAAAACTTTTCTTTTGAAATACATACTCCCCCGGCAATATCCTTTAAAATTAAATGAAATTACCTGATCGTTCTGCTAATGTTGGTTGCAAATAATCTATATCTAATTTATATATATAGGGTCCAAGAACTTCTAATAAATTCGAAATCGATTCTTGATCATAATCACATGGATCTAATTTTTGTAGGTATTCTGCCAGATATTTTTCACAGTACAATGATATCCATGGTCGTTTTTCATTTAAATATGGATAAACATTTCGCCATTTATGAAGGAAACATCTTTTCCAAAAAATATCATCATGAACATATACTGTAAGAATTTTCAATGGTAAGTTAATATTTAAATTTTCGACAAAATAAATTATATCCTCTGGTTCTGTAAGTCTAAAGTATTTAGGATCATCTAAAAAAAATTTTTCTTTAACATTTCATACATAGAAATATTTCTTTAAATTCAAATTCCATTTACTTTCCCAATTTTTAATGATCTCATCTAGAGCTAAATGTCTTAATGTTTTAGGTTGCTCAATATTCCAATCCAAATTTAATGCATTTATTCGATTTGAATAATTTTCTGGTAAGTTAGATTCTTCACAATATGCTTTGAAAACATTTACATCAACTGTGCTTGGAATATAAGGTTGATACAAACTCATTTTTCTTGTAGTTTTTTCTTTTTAGAATATTTAGAAAAAAAAATAATTAAGTAAGAAACCTTTAAAAAAGTAAAATAAGTGAAAATATTTTGTTTAGTTGTTGGTTGTTTAAAAACTCTTTGACCATAAAATTAAGTTAAAAGACTTTGATTAAATCAAATAAATATAATGAGTACATAGTAACAACGTAACTATAGAAAAATTGATTAAGCATTTCAATTATTTTCTAAAACACTTCAATATAAAAATGTCTAAACGTCTCTCTTATTTTTTCTAGGATGTTTATTAAGCACTTTAACTCCTTTTAAATTCAAAAGGTCTTTTTTTATCTGTAATGGTTATTTCTTTGAACGTAAGAGCAGATTTTTAAGAATAAATTTTTATCTGCAGCAGGTGTTAGTTAGAACCAATGTATTTATTACATTCGAATTTAAACATTCGAATTCGAAACTTACCACTAGATGACTTCAGTGTATACAATTTATAGGGCAATTAAATCCCAATATCTAAGATAAAATATACAATACGGCTTTTCATAAAGAAAGGCAAATTATATAGCATAACAAAATTGTATTAAGAAACAAATTAAATCACAACAATGCTGGATGATTTTTAATTAAGATATTTCACTCTTATTCAATTTCAGTGAATAAGAATTCACTCTTATTTCAATTGATTCAGTCTTTGAGCAATTGTGTACATTAAAACTGCAGAGGGGGAATTTAGATCAGATTTATTTTAATTAATAAAAATAGTACTTAAGTAAAACTAGTTTCTTTCGAATATTTATTTAGTAGAACATGGTTCACTTTCAAATTTATCAATTGTGTTTCATATTTAAATCGAAATTAAAACTGAATTACTGAAAATTTTCAATATTTTCAAAAGAAAATGTAAAAATAAATAAGAAGTAAATGATTTTAGTAAATGTTTTTAATAATTAAGTTCACTTAAGAAAGGCAATAAGGCAGGGTCTGTAAAAGTTAAATTTTAATAAATTTTAGTAGTAAAATTTTTTGCAAAATTGGTCATTTATTACTTACTCTAGATTATAGGACAGTTGTCAAATGATTGAAATAGGATGTCAATGACAAATAATTGATAATATCTCGTAAGAGATAACAATGACAAATAATTGATAAAATATCTCGTCTCATAAACAGAAATTTTATGTAGAGAAATAAACTGAACTACACTGAGAGAAATATTTTAGGTGTCTAAACCTAGATTTTTATTTTTTTTTTTTTATTTTAAACATACAAAAACATAGTATTTTTTTTGGTTTTTTAAGGTTTTTTATTTTTTTTTTATTGTTTTTTTATATATATTTTTTTATTTTTAATTTAATTTTTTTTAAATTTATTCTGCAAATTGTTTCAAACATAAATTTTTTTGTTAAAAGTCATTTAAAAGTTTTTGTATTTTTTCCCATTTTCGTGGTTTTATTTAATTAGTTTTTTTTTTCTTTACTTTATTTGTAATACGCATAAAATACTTTTTTTTCTAATTTTAATTAAAGTTGATTTATTTGGTTTTTTTTTGTTCTATTATTTTCATATATTTTTAAATTTGATTTATTTTAATTTTTCTTCTTTAAATTAATTAATTAATTTGTTAATATGAATTAAGAGTTTTGTTGTTTTTTTTGGTTTTGTATATTAAATTTCTTTTTGCTAGATATTTCATTGAAATTATTTTTAATTTTAAAACTAAATTTATTTTCTATATTTTAAATTGTATTTTATATAAATATAGTAAATACATAATATATAATTATGTATGTAATTTAGAAAGAGAGAAAACAATATTATTTTATAAGAACAAAAACTGAGAGAGAGAGAGAGAAAAACAAATCATAATAAATAGAAAATTGAAAAATAAAATATTTATTTTTTTTTTAATTTTATCACCATTTATTTTTAATTTTATTTATTTTCTTTTTTATTCAAAATATATATTTCATATTTAATATGTATATGAAGAGTAGTGTTTAAATTGTTTAAAATATTACAAATAAAAACAAAAAACAAATAAAAATTTATAGAAAAAAATCAATTAGAAAAATATAATAGAAAATTTAAGAATTTCATATAATGCTATATTATATAATTTGAATTATACATTTGATTCTTTATATAATATAATTAGAAATATTTAAATTCCCTGGACCACAATATATATAATGTTGCTGAGATGAAATAAAAAATGTGGTACCGTAGTGGGGGCATATCTGTTTACCGGAATAATACGTATTAATATATGTGTATATTGTAAATATATCATATTAATTTTTTTATATATGTATATATATATATGCTTATAAAAAGGTTCAAGTCATTTATTCCGATATTTTTGTTTTTGGGATAATTTTTTATATTTGTTTTTAAAAGAAAATTATAAGATTCCAGCTCATATAATTTTCATAAATTATGTATATTAATTAATTTTTAATACAAATTTTATATAATATATGTACGCCTCTGGTGGGACTCGAACCTCAATTCTTTGATGATATTTTAATAAAGCATTTTTTTTTTTTTGGTTTTTTTTTCAATTTTTTGTTTAAATTAATTGTGCTTTTTATTTTTATATATTATAATAGAATATATGTATGTTATTTAGCGTGATACCACCAAGGCACAATTAATTATTTATTTAATTTTATTTAATTTTTCTTTTAAATTTAATTTAATTATAAATAATAATAATTTGATAATTGCGACACCTACATTTTTTGTTTTTTTTTCTTTCATATATAAATATACATTATTGAATATATATATATATATATTTAATTATATATATATAATAATTAATTTAATTTTTGCTCTATATAATATAAAATGAAAATAAAATTTGAATTAATATTAAATAATTATTTTTTATTTATTTTTTAATCAATTGATTTAAATTTTTATTAATTTATAGAAATTAAATTATTTATTTTTACTTTTACTTATATAATTTTACATTTAATTTTATTTAAATACTCCTTTATATAATTATATTAAAATTTTATTTATTATATATCATCTTTTTAAATATATGTATATGTTATGGTTTTAATTTTCTAAACTATAAATAATATTATTTAAATAAATCAGTATATAAATATATATAAATTAATAAAAATATACATAATGTGTAAATATTTGTATAAATGTTAGTATATATATGCAATATAGTCAATTGCAGCAATACAAAAATTATACAATTCAATAATAATTATAACTCATACTACATTTTTGATGTTAGAGTATCTATATATAAAATTTTTTATATATATAATATATACATATGCATATTATTATATTATATATTTATATTTTAACAATTAACAAATATATATTATAAATATATATGAAATTGAATAATATTATATATATATTAATTATATATAATATAAGTATATAAGATAATAATAATATAATTTATTAAAATATTTTTATATAATATTGTATAAAATAAATTAATAGTATATTAATAAAATAAATTCATAATATGTATCAAATATATAATAATTATATCAACACTTTTTTTTATATATGTATATTATATATACAGTTATCTATTCATTTGATTTACTATTTTTATTTAATTTAATGTTATATAATTATATTTATTTATTGTATATTATTTAAATATATTTTTGTATTAATTATGCACAATTAAATATTATGACCAATATATTCGATAAGATAACAAATTGATATTTAAATACCCATTTATAATATTTTCTTCTTTTTCTTCTTGTTTTATATATATATATCTACATTCATTTGAATTTTTGGTTAACAGTTTAATATAATTTGCCATTTATAACATTCAATATTATTTTGATGAGTCACTTGTTTTCTAGTTTTTTTTTTGCATTTTTCTTATTTTAATATTTTAGATCATTCAAAATTTATGTATTTTTTATAATTATTGTTAGTTTCTGTATTTTGGTTTTTTTTCTGTTATATTTTATAGTATTTTACGAAATAATTACCCATTGTATTCTATATAATTTGAATTTATATGTATATAATTAGGAAAAAGGTATTTAATTAATTTTTATTATTGTTTACTGTTTCTTATTTTTCAAAATATATTTATTTCATATTTTAATATTTGATTATAAAATATTTTTCATTTCTTTTATATTTTGATATATTATAATTATTATTCTTATATTTTTGTAAGCCTTATTTGTATAATATTATACACATTATATTTTTATATAGCAAAAATATTGTTTATTTTTATAATTATTTTTTTTATTTTGAATAAAACATTTAATATAGTTTTGATAATATAATTATATATGTAACATTTTATTTATTTTTGTGTTTTGTTGTTATTTTTATTATTAAATTTTCTTTTTCTAATTTATTTATTTATTATTTTTGTTTTTTTAATTTATTTTAATTTTATTTAAACACTAAAAATCTAAAATTATGATAGCATATACATTTATAATTAAATTTAATTTGTTTTTTTTTTTTTCTATACAGAAATGTTTTCAATTAATTGATTATGTATATATAATAATTAAATATGAATATTAAGAATATTTTTAGACCTCAATATTTTTACAATAGTTATGGTTGTTATATTATGTCTTTTGTATTTTTTGATGAATATAATTTTTAGGTATGTATTGTTACTAGTTGTTCATCTTTTTGTTTCTTCTTTATTTCAATTGATGTTCGTTTTTTGCATCTTTCTCTTTATATGTATATGTATTTATAATCCATTTTGAGTTGATGATTTGCCGTTATCCGTAAACTATAAAAATTGTAATTGTACACATTGTATAAATTGTTAATGTTTAACCTGAAAATGAAAATTTTTCCAAAAACAGCAACATATAAAAAAAAATTATTTATTTTTTTAAAAAAAATTATTTTTAAATTTATCAATTATTTTTTTTTTGTGATGTTAATTCAAAATTTTTTGTTATTATTATTTTTTAAATTTTAGATGTTAATTAATTTTTATACATTTTTAATTTTAATTGTTATTTATAAAAAAAAAATGTTCGTTTTTTTTTAATTATTAAATTTATTTTAAATAAATTTCAGAAATATAATAAATTTTACATTTACAACTCTTTATGAATATTATAATGGAAACAAGAATTGGGAACAAACTTTAAGTATAGAATTTATAATAATCTTGTTTTATTGTATGCAGCAAAAATTATCTAAGAGTTTTAAGCGTAAAATTTTTCTTTAAATTTATTTTGCATAATTTTTTTTTTTGTTTTTTTATTAAAATATTTCTTCAACAATTTAATTTTTAATTGATGTTATTTTGAAGTTAGACGTTATAGTAAATAATATTATAGATGTTATTTATAATATTTTTTTAATTTTTATTTTCTGTCGAAGAAATATTTACAAAAAAAAAAAATACGTTACAAATTAATTAAAATATTTCAGAAATAAATTTAAAATAGACTTAATAATAATTCTGTTTTTTTTTATTATTTTAATTTTGATATTTTGATATTATTTTTAGATGTTAATTTAAGAAGTTAGATGTTATAATATCTAAGGATGTTATATTTTTGTATTAATATATTACATATAATAATTGTTAAATTAAAAACATTTTCTTCAAAAAAAAAAACACATTTTTTTTTTTATTTTTGAAAATTGAAAAGTTAAAAATGTAAAAACAAACCACTGTTATACTTAATTAAGTTTTAATTAAATATTAATTTTAATGAAAAAAAGAATTTATTAAATATATAAAATATTTGTATTAAGAATTGAAATAATATTTATAATTAAAAACTAGAAGCTAGATTTAATGGCGCTCTTTTTATTCTAACTATAATATGTTTTTAAGTATATAACGTAATAATAGTAAATTTTTTTGTTTTGGTGTTAGTATACATTTTTATTGAATAATAAAATATTAGTTTTAAAAAAATTTTTTTTTTTTATATATTTGTTCGATGTTTTATTTTTAATTTTTATTCGCATTTTAATTGATAGTTAGTTTGTATATAGTTATCAGTGGAATAAATTATATAATTTATAGTTTTTAGCTTTTAATATTGTATATGTATTTTAATAAAATAAAGCATATAATTATAACAATTAATACCTAATTGAAAAATTAAAAAAAAAAAAGAAAACAACTATATAACAACGACAATTTCATTAGTTGTTTTAGTTTTTATTTTTAAAAAATGCATAATATACATATGTATATAATATATATACATATTATTTATATAAGTGAAATTATAAAATCAATACATTTAATAATATTTATAAATTTGGTTTTTCAATAAATTTGCTTTGCCTTTCTTATACATTTTTTATGTATTTTAATATTATATAAAGATGTTTAATAAATGTTAATGATTTTTATTTGATTTTAGTATATTTCACTTAATTTTCAATATTTATTATTTGTATATAATTTATGTATATATACATATGTATATATGTATTTTTTATTTTAATTAATGAATTACAATACGTGAAAATAATTCATTCAATAGTTTTATAATAACAAGGTATCTAATTAATATATTATGTATGTATGTACATATTTATAATTAATAAATGAAATGGTTTTATACTTTTGTTTTTTTTGTTGATGGGTCGAAATCGAAATTCAAATTAAAAAAAATGTAAATTAAGAAATAATATTAACAATATAATAGAATAACATAGGGTTCTATTGAATGAATAATTTAAATATTATATATTTTTAATGTATATATAAATAATAATTTTACATAATAATTATTATGATGTTATTTTTTAATTTTGTAAAATTATTTTTTATATATATTGAAAGGATATTTTCATTAATTGGATTTTTAATTTATGTATGTATTGAAATTTCATAAATAAAAAAAATTTTTAAAAGATGTTATTGTTTGTTTTAAAAATTTTTCCTTTTTTGCTTTTGAAAATAAATGGTTTAACAAACGCTTGCTTTTTAATGGTCAACTTGGGCATTCTGTTGTTGTTTATTCTCCCAACCTTCAGTTTGTTTATTTTTTTTTTTTGGTTTTTACTTATTTAAATTTTTAATCAAATTAAGATTACATAGTGTGTTGCTTACTTCGTAAAATTTGGTTTTTTTTTTTTCTTGTTACACAAATACTTAAATTTCTTGTCATTTTTTTTTTTTAAATTTTTCTGAAGTTTTTTTTTTTTTTTTTGATTTTCCTTGTGTTGTCGTATATTTTGATTATTTGTATAATAACCCTTTTTGTGCTTAAAATTAAAAACAAAAATAATAATAAATTTTTTTCTTTTATTTTTTTTTTTATTTTTATTTATTTATACTTAAACATTAAAAATTTTTTTTCATATACTTTTGTTTTTTTTTTTAAAATATTTATTTTTTTTTTTAATTTTTTTTAATAACATTAATTTGTAATAATATAATAGAATTAAATATTTCTTTTCTTTATATATATTCTTTAAAACAATTATATAAATATATTTTTTTATACAATATAATATTAAATATAATAATATATGTATGATTTTTATATTATATAATTATATTATATAATAGATATAAGTAAAGATTTATATAATTATATAATAGTAACATATTATGTTAGATGAACTATATGTTGCACTGCTTAGGTTTTATGTAATATAATATATAAATAATAAATTATTTATTTTTTCTGTTATTGGTTTTTTGTTTTTAATGTTGACAAGTATATGGTTTGTTGTTATTTAGTTTTGATGGCTACCACATACATATATGTATATATGTGTATATTTATGTATTAAGTTGAATTTATTATAATGATGGATGCAGTTGTTTTACGTTTATATTTAAATTGGTATTTTTTTCTTCATCATTCATTTTTATTATAATTATAAACGTTGTATATATGTAAGTATTTTAATAGGCATGGTTTGCAACGAATAAGCTAGCATCAGCACCAGCACCAACAACACTACCAGCTACATATTTACCAATAGCAGCTTCACCATTAGCCTAAAAATATAAAAAAAGAAAGAAAAATTTTAAATAAAATTGAAGAAAAAAAATTATTTTTGACAAATAACTTTTTATATTTTATTTTTTTTATTATAATACGAGTATGTGTACTTGGAAGGATACCTAAGCATAATTTGTACTTTATTAAGTGATTATTGTAATCTTCTTTTATATCGTATATGCAGGGATATAGTTTCCGTTATACTTACTTTAAAGTTTTAAGTGCTTTCATATGTACAGTGAATATATCAATTTTATTTATCTTAGATCAATGATTATTTAAGATGATTACGTACGAGTATTTTTCTTTATTGAATAATTGTGGTAAGAATTACAGAAATTCCCAGCTTAAAGTGGTTTTTAAAACCGAAAATTTCGTCTTTAAGCGAAATTACTCAAATTGAGGTTCATTTCCTCAATTTTGGATTATTTAAACTTCAATCCAAACTATAAAATCTACAAAAATAGCACGACCGTTGAAATGACCATTTAAATTTTTTTTTAACTATTGCAAAAATATTATAAATTAGAAGAAGAGCATAATAGAAAAATGGTTAATGCATAATAGAAATGGATATTTAAAAATTATTCGATTATGTTGCAAATCTTTAAAAGTAAAAAATTCAGTTTCTACAGATTTGTAATTGCACGTGTGAAAGATTTTTGTGATTAAATTTAGAACTTTAAGTGCATATTCGAATTAACAGAAATCTCCAAAATTTGCTAAAATTTATGACCAGTTTTTTTCTAATATTTTATATGTTTCATTGTCCTAATGTTCGAATGAAAATTTAGCGTTTCTCATCATATTTAATATAGATTGGATTTATACAGGCAACTCTTAATTCAGTATGAATCATAAAATTATAAAACATAATTTACTAAATATTATAAACTATTTTTTAATGAAATATAGTAAATTACTATTTTTAATAATAGTATTAACTTTACAATATTTTATAATTTATTGATTGTATACGTTAGTTACAAGAAAATTGTGATTCTAATAAAAAGATATCAGCAATAGTGTTTTGAAGAGCAAAAGATAAAGAAGTTAAAAATAAAATCATGCAAAAAATAAGTGTAAAAATTAAAAGAAAACATTTAAAATTTTTATTTTATTAAAATTTTTTATTTTATAGTCAATTTTTTTAAAAAAATTTCAAACCTTATATAAAGAAGTGTTTAAAAGATAAAATTGTGTTGTCAAAAAAGAAAAACCAAAATTAAAACTGCTGCTTATTAAATATGATAATTAGTATTAAAAAAAATCAACGTAAATATGTTAAAAAAAAAAACAATTAAAACAAATATTAATATTTAAAAAAAACACAATAACTATATAAAAATGTGTATTTAAATTTTCTTTTCAATCTTAATAATTAAATAAAAATTTATTAAATGCAAAAATATTAATAATTATTATAATTATGGCAATTATTTTTTATTTGTTTTCATTATTAATTTTAAAAACAATTTTTTTTTATTTTGTATTAAAAGATCCAATTTAAGTGTGTTTTGTGATTTCCAATATTGTGTTGTTTATATATTTCGGAAATTTTATGCTCTGCTTCAGTCTTAATTTGTAAAGAATGTTAAGATTTTTTTCAAGTAAAAATCAATAATAAAAAAAAAATTGGATAATATTAACAAAATTAAATATATGTCTGTCTGTCTGTTTTTCTTATTGATTTTAGTAAGCATGTGATTTTACAAATAAACTTGTATTTCCTGCAAAAGATGGAATTGATCCAGCTACATATTTGCCTTGACAAGCAAGTGCATTTGCCTGCGAAAAATTTTTGAAATATTTTTTTGAAAAATTTTAATTAAATTGTTTATAGAAAATAATTTTATCATTATTAAGCCATTAAAATTAAAAAAAAAAAATTATAATTAAAGCCAATTATTTTTATGTTATACATGCAAGTGTATTACAAGTGTTACAAGAGTAGAGTTATATTACAATGTTTAAAACCTAAAAAAAAAATGAATTATCTTTGACTTCAATATTCTAGTAATACGGTGTCAATACAATTTAGCAACTAGATCTGAATTGTGATATTGAGACCATATTACAGAAATTTGAAGTCAGCTTGGCATGTAATGTGTAATTGCTAGAAATTGTTGTGTAAAAATTAGTAAACAAAGCTTTGTTATTTTAATAAGCAATACAATTGTAATTTTTAAGTAAAATTTAATATTTTATTATTATTTTAAAATTTTCTTTGAATTAAGACATGCAACCAAGATTATGGTCTGAAACTAAATTCTTATTTGTATATTATATGTATTTAATTTTACTATGAATTATGAATTTATTTAAGTTACTAGATTTTTCAGAATGTGTTTATTTGGTAAAATTATATTTTATTTTTTTTTATAAAAATAATTATAAAATTATTAATATTAAGAAAAAATAAATAAAATTATCAAATATCCTATGTATCATTTAACTAAATTATTATACGGTTAGTAAGAGTCAGTTTTGGATTTGTCATGTTTTTAAGATGTTTTAGTATGAAAATATTTTAAAATAATGTGAAAGAAACTTGAGAAAACATTTATTCCTAAAATCAAGAACAATGAATTTATTTTAACCATGCTTAACTAAAGTCTATTAAGTGAAAATTATGTTTAAATCAAATTATTAAAAAAAAAATGGTATAAAATTTTTAAAAGTTTCTATTGGTTCTGCGTTATGGCAATAAACACCTAATATGATTACTTTATTTAAATTTTTAATTTATATAACATTTAAATCTTGTACAGCACGCAGTTCTTTATTTAAAATCATGTACAGCAAGTTTTCTTAATATAATTTTTTATTTTAAAAGCATTCGGATTACGAAATGTTAGTATGGGATACTGTTTTAGTTAATTACGCGTAAATTACTCGCTAATTAAACCAAATTAGCGAATTACTTAGTTATAGGAATCAATTGATACTTTAAGATTTTATTCAATATTAAATATGATATTATTCAAAAATATTAAATATGACCCATATATTATACAAGGACAAACTTTACTTATCATTTATAAAAATATAAGTACATTTAAAACCCAATTTACATCTGTATGTAATCTGTCCCATTATTTTTACATACCAAATACCACTTATTTTATAAAGTAATTCAACATTTTATATTATTTCCACATTATAGTTCTATTTATATACTATATGAATAACTGATATCCCACCATATGGTATTACAATTAATGTATAAAATTTTTTTTAACTTACCTTAGCACGTTTAAGGAGTTCAGCTTGCCCAGCAGCAACATTTTCTTTCTTTCCTTGCCAAGCTCTCAATACGGATGCTTGAAGAGCACGACCATATGAGAAGGTAAGTGCCCATGGTTTCAATAATGGTACTTGATTAATAGCATTTAAGTGAATTGAAGCTTCTTCTTCTGATTGACCACCGGAGAGGAAAGTGATTCCTAAAAAGAGAAAAACGAAATATTAATTATTACAATTTACAAAAAAAAAAGGTATAATTTTTTTATAATTAAATTATATGAAAATTTGTTTTTTACCGGGAACAGCAGCTGGTACAGTTCTTCTTAAAGCCAAAACGGTGGCAAGGGCTACATCTTGTGGTGAAGCTTTCTTTGCACATGATTGACCAGGTGTTACCATATTTGGTTTCAATAATGTACCTTCTAAATATACGTGATGATCACTCAATGCTTTATATACAGCAGCCAAAACAACTTCAGTTACTTTAAGACCACGTTCAAGATCATGATCACCATCAGGTAAAATTTCTGGTTCAACAATCGGTACAATACGTTGTGATTGACAGATTGATGCATAACGAGCTAATACATTAGCATTTTCCAAAATTGCTTGGTAGCTTGGTGTATTTTTACCAATTTTTAATACACAACGCCATTTAGCGAAATCGCAACCATCTTTTTTATATTGGGCACAACGTGCTGCTAAATCATCTAAACCTTGAGTTGTACATTCATCTTCTGAACCGAATAATGGTACAACACCTTTATCAACTTTAATACCGGGGATGATACCTCTTTTCTTTAAAATTTCAACGAATGGTGTACCATCTGATGTTTTTTGATATAATGTTTCATGGAACAAAATAACACCGGATACATTTTCAGCGAGTTTTGGGTCAGATGTAAATAAAAGTTCACGGTATGCACGGCGATTTTCATCGGTGTTTTCACAGCCGATATCAGCTAAACGTTTACCCATTGTTGATACAGATTCATCAGCAGCTAAAATACCTTTGCCAGGTGCAACAATAGCCTTGGCAATGCGGCTGAGTTCTTCTTGTAATTCCTTTGATGGATAATTGAAATAGGTAGTCATATTGATAGCTTGTGTTCTAAAATAAAAATGAAGAAGTTTAGAAATGAATATTTTATTTTAAATATAAATTTATAATAAAGGAAGTGATAAAAATGAAATTTATATTAATTTTAAAATACTATTATAATAAGTATGTATTAAATAATGTGTAAAATAATTCTTCTAATGTAGAGAATGTTAAAAAGTGGATATACAAAAGTAGCACAAAATAAATTTTAAAATTAATTGAACACACCGTAAATTTGGGCATTACTTTCAAAATATGTCGTGTAAATAATGTATACTCGTACCTTACGAATAAAAATTATTTATGTAATGACATCTATATACACGTGTCATTTTTTGAAAATCATTCCAATTACTTTCTAAAAACTTTATACATATATATAAGAACATATGTATATGTTAAAACTTTGTCTGACAAACATATGTCAGTTCATATAAATGTGAGTTTACTGTATTTTAATTGAGGAGAAAATTTTTGTAAGTTATAATTTTCAATTTAAAACCAGTCTGTTTGCGAACTATAATAAAAGCCACTAATAGGAGAAATAGCTCAACAACTATAACTATTGGTACTTTCAAATTTTGATGTCGCATTATACACAATTGAAATTTTTCTTATTTTGACATAGGAAAACAACTTGTATTTTTTACAATACGTATATTAAGAAGGCATAATAATTGTATAACACACCAATAATTGAGTGTAGTTTTGGGAGTTCTTATTATTTTTCGATAATTAAAAAGTAACTAAAAAATTTCAAAAGAAAATATAATTTGAAAATAATGCAATCCTATTTGATTTATGGCACATTAATTCACATATTTTCACTAAAAATTTAATTTCGTTGTTATTGAAAGTTTTTTTACGTTATAGTGCTTCTGTGATATTTAATTTTGCATTTGCAAAATTATTTTCCATGTTCACTTTAAAACATGGATACTATCTAAACAATGTTATTACTAAAAATTTTTACAAGAAGAATAAACAAACCACAACACAATGATTTTAATTTTTTTTTACAAATTTACTACAATATTGAACTGTCAATTTAATAATGTATGTAAAAGTTCTGCGCTTTAAAGTTTTCAAAATTTTTATAACTGTTTTACAATACAAAATAGCTTTTAGTAATTTGAATGGGAACCCCTTTTTTTCTTTTTTTTTTGAAATTTCAATTTCTAGCTACTTTTGATACTCCTTTTTTTAAATTTATTTTGGAAATAAGAAATTTAATTTATGTAGATCATGATTTTACTATTTTATAGCAAATTTTAAATTAATAAAGAATATTTTTATGTAAATTTAATGAATTTTTTTTTTACAATTAATTTTTGAATAACTTTTAATTTTTTTTTTGCTATAAAATATATGCATGTATGTATGTATTTTTATTTAAAATTAATAATAGAATTTTGATAGCAATGTGATAGACAAATTTTTCATTTGAATTAAAATAGAAAATATTTAAATGGTGAATAATTTAAATTATGAATTAAAATTAGTGAAAACTATTAATTTTATATATGTACTTTGCTTTTATAATATTTTTAAAGGAAGAAAATCAATTACAATGACGATATCCTTTAAATATGGAGGACGACTTCAGAATTAAAGAGAAGAATATCGACATTTCAAAACACAGGAAAATTTTTTATGAACTTTTTTTTTTCTTTGTTTTTTACATTATAAAAAACTTTTCAGTTTCACTTTTTTCTTGAAAATTATTTTCAAAGAAAAATTCTTTAATATTAAATTGTTTTTCATACATTTTGATTGAAATTATGTTTTAGTTTTTTTTTTCTTAATTTTTTTTTTCTTCTTTCAAGTCACTTTAAATTTTCAACAATGTTTAGTAAAATTTTAGAAAAAACATTTTTTTTTTTTAATAAACAAATTTCCAATTTTATAATTTTCCAAATTTTAGTAACCTACACTAACCTCTAGAAGATACCTTTGAAAAATGGATGAAAAATTTTTATGAAAATTACAGAAAAAAGCTTTTAAAATTTTGCGTACACATTTGCGTATATAAATATATATGTACATATATTTAGTGTTATAGGTGTATTTTATAAAATGAAAACAATAATATATTATGTATATACATTATATACATACATAATCTTTAAGAGATTGAGAAAGTTGACTTATAAAATTTCAACTATTTTTTTTTAACTTTCACTTTCGATTTTATTCAAATGTATAGTATTTATGTGCATGCATTATAATATATTACACATTGTAATATATACAAGATAACCGTATATCTCATCTTGTATAACACAAGTATAAAAATTGAAGAAAAAGGATAATAATTAATATGTAAACATGCATAACATACATATGTATATATGTACATACTTATCTACCCAATTTCATCTAATATATTTTATCGCATATATGTATATACACACATAAATAATATAAAATAAGATTTACATAATATACAAATAGTTTTATTTAATTATTTTCACGATATAACGAAACTTTCTCTCATGACATAAAAATTTATATTAGGAAAGCTTGTGTAACAATTAAAAAATGTATCATGCAACTTTTTGCTTTTTCATTGTGTAGTGCGCATATATTTTAAGAGAAAAGCTTTTCAAAACAAATTCATTTTTACTTTTTAAAAAAAACAATGTTTGTGTGCCTGTGTGTATATGTGTTATAAAGACGTAGTATTTGTATTCGAATTTTGAAATAATTTCGAAAATTTATATATTATGATATAAAATTGTCATTGATAAAGGTCGTCAACGTCATGTTGAAATTTTATTTGGTTTTTTGTTTCTTTCTATGAAATAATATATAATAAAAATGCACAAGAATAGCGAGATAGAATTGAAAAAAAAATAATAGGTACAATGTAGAATTTGTTGTTGATATTTGATTATATTAAATGTATATATATCATGATATATATACGGGTACGCTAAAATAAAAATGAAATATGTATGTAAAGTATACACGTTTGTATGTAAGTAAAAAAAATATATTGGAGTTGGAATGGGAGACACGTTTCTTAATTTATTTTTTATTTTTAGTACACACATGTAGGTATACTGTTCATTTTTGTTTCTTGTTTTTATTTTTTTAGTATTTTGTTATATAATATATTTAATGTACGAAATATGTATGTTTATAAATGTATAATGTGAATGATTATATAATTTTTTATTTCGATATTCTATTTTATTAAAAAAATTTTTAAAGTTTAAGTTTAGAATTTTTCATTTAGCTACTTTCGATATATATTCGACTATTTTTGTACTTCTTTAAATATTTTAATTTGATTTTATTTAAGTTTAATAGATTGCTTTAAAGAAAGATTCATAATTTAAATAGGAAATATTATAAGCTTGCATTCATCAATAAATTTAATTATAAAATTATATTTTTCTAGGTATTTAATAAAAATATTAATAAAACAAAAAGATTAATTATGTTCAGTGACGCCTTAATAAAATAAAAATACAAAATCCCATATTTGTTGTTTGTGATGCAAACAAATTAAAAAATGCTTATACCAAACAGGCACTGTCGGGATAAATAAGAGTTTTTCGTAATAGATAAGGGAAACGTTCCATTAAAGGGATAGGTAGTGATATTGCAAAAATTTCATCAAATCATTCATGTGATTTGATAAAATATGCAAATTAATAATGAACAAACTCCAATATAATGTGGGGATATTATGTGTAAAACAGTAATTGATTTACGATCGTGTTTGAATATTACACGCAAATGTTATATGAATTCATAATATATTATACTAATAAATCATTAAGTATCATAAATTTATAATAACGGCGTGATTCTTTTGTATAGAAACTGATGACTGAAGTAAGTATTCCTTGCATTCTTTTTTTTTAACTTTTGAAAGGTGACTCTTGAGGTGAATAAAATGACTCATTATTATTTTTTTTAACACATGTTTGTTATTTTTATTATTACTTTGTTCTATCCCGAAATTCAATGTCACTTTTGTGTATAAGCGATATTTATTGCATCATTATAAATTTGATGCCTTTAAAACAAAATAATTATATTATGTATGTATGTATATAAGGAATACGAATATATATACATATGTACATATATTTTTTTAAAATTTAAAGTTAACCAAGAATTTTAGGAGGTTCTTCAAATTTCAAAAAAAAAAAAGAAAATTGTTTTAATGAAAATAAAAATAAATTTATGAAATTAAAGGTTAAAATTGAGGTCAAAAATATTAAAAATAATTTGTACATGTACATGTGAACGTTTAAGCGAAAATGTGTTAAAGTAGTTGTTGTCATATGTGTACAAAATGTTAATTTTAATTTATTTTTCTTATCGATAATATGCTCAAACATTTACTTATTAAGTTGTTTTTTTCCGTCGGTTTATTGCTTTTATTACGTTTGTATTTTTATGTGTGTATTTATTATTACAATATTGTTATGACGTAAAATAACAACATTATTATTAAATAATATAAAATAAGAAAATAAGTTGAAGGAAAAGGAGTTGAATGGAAAACTATAAGAATTTAATTGTGATATCATATTTGTATTTGCTCAGATTTAGATTTTGGTGAATGTTTTTTGCCGAGAAAATTTGTTTCCTAATGAGAAAAGGGAAAAAAATTTTAATTTGGCTCTTAGTATAAAATTAGTAGTATAAATAGGAGGCGGGTTCGCGCTATTGCGAATTTCTTCACGGGACACTGCCCAGTGAAGTACCACCTGTATAGGCTGGGGAAGTCGGGCTCCCTCCTGTGCAGATTTTGTGGGGGCGGTGACGAGACCGCCGTGTACATCCTTTAGTCGGGAATGTTCACAACAAGTCAGGAATGGCTGCGGTGGCTCGGGAGTTGCTCCTGCCCCACTCGGTTTCCTTAAAAATCTAATCTAATTTAGTATAAAATTACAGCTACTACTACCTGACGTGCATGAAAATAATGTTAATTCAAAAGATCTTTAAAAAAGAATCAGAAAATAATTTTTTAAATGAACTCAATCAATTTTTAGATGAATTGACAGAACGACAGATTCTGACACCTATTTGAAAATTTTTCTAACACTAAAAATTATAAAAATTCAAGCATTTGAAATTTTTTAAAATCACAATAACTTCTATATTACAATACAATATGAATAATAGAAATATGATTATTGATAAAAATTTTTAAACAAAAATCAGTATACCAGTTTGCTAATATAAAAACAGCTAATTACACTTACTAATATCATGGCAAAACCTACATAGCTTTATGTAATAATTATAATAGCAATGTACATTATTATGTAAGTGCATGCAAAATATTGTAGATATTAAAATAATAAATTAATAATGATATTAATGTAGGTACAATATGTATATGCAACAAAGAAATTTGAATTTGATGTGACTAATATTTTTCGATAATTAAGTTTTTAATTTAGATAATTAAATTTTTAGAGTTATCTTACAGAAAAGCTCTAAGGTTAAATTCTAATAGAGCTTCGCATTCCTTACTCTATGTTCGATATTTTAAAAATTTAAAAATTACATTAAATTAATCACTTATTTTTATACGGTAAGTCATTAGCAATTCAAAAGAATTATATGCAATTTATGATAATAAAAGACTTTATACCAGTTTATATAGAATTGAGATTACCGTTATCGAATTCTATAACACATTTGTTTGTAATTGTGGTTGGAAAGCATAAAAAATTTACTATCTATGCTGAATCAGAATGTATTTTTTTTTTATTTATTTATATTTGTTATATAATCGAGTGAAGAAGTTTATGAAATAAAAAGTTTACAAAACGGTTCAAAAGTTCAAAAGTTTATCAATAAATATGATGTGATTTTGTTGCGTCAATAAATTGTGATACTCGTATAAAAATGATTTAAAAAAAATATACATATATTGGTTTTGTTTCTGCCTTCTACTTGCTCTTCATTATTTAAAATAATAAAATATTTTTATTGCATTTTAAGATTAGTGAAAAAACCAGCTTAAAAGTAGGAAAAAATTTCATTTGAATAGAGAAACGTGTTTTGGTTCAGTTAAGGTTTGGTTTTTATTTTTTATTTTATATAGTACATATAGCTATATTTTGCTGAAATGAGTATTTTTACCAAGAGTTGAGGTTTTTTTGTGATTCCTCCATAGTTTTGTATAGAAATATATTACTATTTTTTTTCCTGTTAAATTAAACATCATCATGTAGTGAAGAATTTTATTTGAAATATGATATTTAACAATTTTGAAATTATAATAAATCTGACGTTGAGTTTTAATAAAATAAGGGTAGTGCGTCTCAAAATAATCCAATGCTTGTAACAATTTATTCTGAAAAAAGTCTTTACCGAATTCGTTTCACTGTGAAAATGAAAGCAAATACGCGGGTTTTAAATATAAGTATTTTAAAAGATTACGATTTGCGCAGTTATACGAGTAAGAAACGGTAAACGAATAGAGAAAGTAAATTTACTAAAAAATTAAACCGGGAAGCAGCCAAACTGATATGATGTATATTTTAATATTTTATCCATGTTGCCATTTAAACAAAGACTTATGTAAATACTTGACCAGAGTTTATGTAGAAGAAGGAGTATCTAGATATAACGAGCTTTCTAGTTTCCTTTAATTCTCACAAACATACATGTTCCTATTGCTGGTATTCGTTGATATGCGAAAAAAAAACTATTTTAATCGCAATATTTCCCTTCCTTCCTACAACAAAATTTATGTAAATTTCAAAAAGCCACAATTTCTAGTTATGTTTTTTTTTTTTGGAGGCTT